GGAAATCTAACATGCTTGGGGAATCGATGGAGGGAGGGAGGGAGGGAGGGAGGGAGGTGGACGCGAAGCCCCACCGACTCACACACCTTGGGGAATCGAGGGAGGGAGGGAGGGAGGGAGGGAGGGAGGGAGAGAGGGAGGGAGGTAGGGAGGGAGGGTGGTGGAAGCAAAGCCCCACTGACTCACACACCTTGAGAAGAGCAATCCAGCACGCACACTCCAGTGCCTGTGCTGCTTCGTCGATGACGACCAGGTCAAAGGAGGTATCCTTCAACCGTTGCGTCAATGCCCCCGTCAACGTTGACGCAATTACGTCTGCGTCCTTGATCACATCAACGACTGCCTGGGTCTGCCTCTTCTTCTCTTCCTTTGCCAGCCGCTTCAGATCCCTCGTCAGCTCGCCTTTTTCCCTTCGGTCCTTCGTTTTCAACAGCTTGCTGCTGAGTTGCTGCACAGAAAGTGAACTACAGCCCAAAGTTATGGTTCTGTAATGCGAATCTGCATGCCATACAATGTATGTACCGAACAGAAACATCCACATTCAGACACACACCCCTTTCTTCTTGCCATCACACTACCTGACGTCAGTGAGAACACAGAGAATTCGGAGCACGTTCTTCTGCTCATGCCCACTGGAGTATGGGCCCCTTGCGAGAAAAAACAGATGAAACGAACAAAATAACACGGAGTGCATCTTCAAACAGGTAATGGAAAAAAAAAAAAAAAAAAAAGGTAATGGATCAATCTTGCTAACTTGTACAGAAAGAGCGAAGTGCGTGTGAATTGCCGTGTGGAGTTGAGTGTGGTGTGTGTTGAGTTGGACACTACAGCCTTGCAGGGGTGGGGTGGATATCACGACCGGTATGGTTCCACTTTTGAACACTGTGTCTTGGCTGTAGTGGTTACGAGACTTGGCTCTTGAGGCCGAGGTCGCCGGTTTGAATTCGCGCGTGCACGAAGGAGGACTGAGGGCCAGATGTACGGATCCAGTTACTACTATTGTACAGAAAGAGCCCTCGTCTCTTTTTTTTTTTTTTTTTTTTGCCCTTTTCCCCGTGTGTTGTGCGGTGAGGTCCCGTGATTCACGATTTGCACTGCCAACTGTCAGATTCATGCTGCTTTCTAAGCACAAACATACCATCAAAATGGGGTCAAGCCATTTTGACTCGTAGTTTTTTTTTTGTTTTTTTTTTTTTTTTGACAAACGGTCACAAACTCTCATTACGACCCTCCAAAATTTCATAACGAGGGTTTGTCAAAAAAAAAAAAAAACGAAAAAAAAAAGGAGTAACTCGAGAGCAAGGTAGAAGAAAAGTTCAGGTAATATGATCTCTATTCACTGACCTTTATCTCTTTTCTGACGTCTGTTGCGATGGATGTATTGTCAGCCTTCAGCACCTGCAAAAAAAAGAGCACAAGGTCCGATGCTCGTTGTCAACCACCCCCCACCACTATGGTAATGGCAGAGACTCACCCAAAGTTTCACCATAAAAGGCTATTTATTGAAAGGCACAAGAGGGGGAAAAAAGCGCAGAAAATACGACGTGGCTAGGTCGTATGCGGCCTCAGAGTGTGTCTGTACACTTTTTCTTGTCCCCGCCTTGCTTGAGAACTTTGAAAAATGGACGCGAGACAACTTGCCACCATTCTCACCATTAAAAAAAAAATTAATCACCACCTCCCCTCTTGAGAGTGAGAAAAATTACCTGAGCATCAAGTGCGGATTCCAACACTTGAGGAAGAAGGCGGGCAGGATGTCCCATTCTCACAACCTTCACCCTAAAAACAAACAAACAAACAAACAAACAAACAGTCAGGCGGGCAGGATGTCCCATTCTCACAACCTTCACCCTAAAAACAAACAAAAACAAACAAATAAACAAACAGTCAACAAAGTGCCCATAGCACTACACCACCCCTCCTTCCTCCTTACCCAAATCCAGCATCACTAACAAATTGAAAAAACCGCTGAACTTGAAATCAATTTCCATTCCATATATATTTCCACAAATCTCCACCAACCATCCCAATTACTTAACTTGTCTACCTTCCTCCTCCCCCCCCCCCCCCCCCCCCCCCCCCCCACCCCCCTTGTTTCCATGTTCCATGACCACAATTTGTTGAAGTTGCAGGGAATTATTGTGATTACAAACAGCGCAACGATGCCGCCGCAGCTACCCAACTCCTCGACTGCTAAAGCCCCCCACCACCACCACCACACCAGCAAAAATGTTGAACCCTCTTCCAGGATGCCATGCAACCACCAGCCTGGAATCGCTTACAGTCCCAAGTGCAAGTCACATTTTCTTTCTATCCACTCACCTTAGCCCCTCCTTTCCTCTCTCCTCCTCCCCCCCCCCCCCCCCCCCCCCCCCCCCCGAAACCCCCCCCTCTTACGCCCCGCTTCCCTTCCTCCCCCCCTTCCACCCCAAAAAATGTTGACCCTCTTCCAGGATGCCACTTACAAACTATGCAACCACCATCCTAGAATCGCTTGCTGTCCGGAGTCCAAGTCACATTTCCTCTCTTCTATCCACTCCCCTTCGCCCCTCCTTTCCCCTCTCCCCCCCTCCCCCTCTCCCCCCGCTCCTCTCCCCCTCTTCCCTTCCTTCCCCCTCCCAACCCCCCACCATCCTAGAATCGCTTACTGCCCCGAGTGCAAGTCACATTTCTTCTCTTCTATCCACTCTCCTTAGCCCCTCCTTTCCCCTCCCCCTCATCCCCCGCTTCCCTTCCTCCCCACCCTCCCTCCCCCTCCACCCCATTCCCTCCCCCTCCCTTTTCTGCCCACACCAGTTGCTGCATATTGATACAGGCAAAGACAAAAGAGTCAGACAAAGAGATACAATAGCCAGATTTCACTGAGCATGCGAAGAAAGAGTTACAGCAATCAGACTTCAGTGAGTCGAGCGAAGAAAGAGTGACACCAGTCAGACATTGTTGAGTCAAACAGAGGAAAATGCAGCTGTCGGATGATGCCGCTGCGTGAACAAAGAGAGAGACAAGCGTCAGACATCAATGTTTGAAACAGATACATAGACCAGCCAGACAAAAACCGAGTCAAACTAAGAAAGAGAGACCGCAGGCAGACGTTGCTGAGTCGAAAGAAGGAGACACAAAAGCCCTTATCTTGCCAAAAGCACTAAACAAGATTACCTGCTGCAATATCCAGGGCCATGCATGCAAGATGAAGATATAAGAGTCGATCAGAAAGAGACAGCAGTCTGACGTCTCTGAGTCAAACACCACGAGATACAGCCGTCATACCTCTCTCTCTCTCTCTCTCTCTCTCTCTCTCTCTCTCTCTCTCTCTCTCTCTCTCTCTCTCTCTCTCTCTCTCTC